TATTGTCTTCAGAAGAAATGCTCTGTGAATTTTATGACCAATGGGAAAGCTGTTCCCTTCCCCCCACTCAACCCTGGCCAGTCACAAAGATTGCTTGAGTAAGTGGGGGTCCCACAGAAGAACTGTTACAAACCCCTTTGCAAGGTGTAGAGTAAGCCGTGAATGTCAGGTGAAGCCCATTATTCCATTAGCACTTTCAGATTATCATAATTTGTAAAAATGAATCTTGGGCAAAATTCTCTGTTCTCAAACTACTTCTCAGAACCAGACAATCCAGGCATTACTGCTTGGAGGGTACATTACAATGTAGGTTAAGACCTTTCCCACCTCTGACTTCTGGTAGCTCCTAGTAAACTTCTGGTAGTTCAACTGAAGAAAAAAACAATTTACATAATACAGTCCCTCCAACAGAGAATGTCTTCAGTAAAAACTGGTCCTACAGGCTGGTTACAATGATACCAGTCAGGCCAGAATTAGACCAGAGAAAGTCCACTAACAAAAGGCTGAATCCCGAGACATTATTCACCTGAGTAAGGTGAGCAAGATTTGTCTAAAGGATTGAATTTAAAGTTTCTTTTTCACCTTTTAAGTGATAAATCATAAAATTCTTATCCCCCAGAAGGCTGAGAGAAACCACTGCCATTGAAAAGATTCCAACTATCTCTAATGAACATTGGATCGAGCCCTAATAAAACAGATTTTTATGCAACTACTGCACACATTTTCTTAGTCCTGGCAGATCTCAGTACTGATAGTTTGGTAGGTATCATTCTGAATGTGTAGGAAAGCAACAATATTCAAGCCCAGATCCACCATGTAAGTCAGAATTTCGTTCTTACTTTTTAATTTTTTTGTAAAGCAACCTTCTTAACTAGACTTGAAAACTTCTGCATTTCTTGAAAACAGAACCATACTGTATTATCACAGCTACAATGAAATCAGATAGGTACTTGTATAATAATAAGTAAGTTGTATGGGGAAGTAAGCACTCTTGTTTTGCAAATATACTTAGTTTCTGCTTCAGTTCTGAAAGTAAAGGAAAATTCCTCTCCAGATAATTAAAATCAGAAACTGAAAGGTGTCTCTTTGCCTTACTTCTTGTTTCTGGAGATAAAAGGAGGATCTGATATTTGTTTATGGCTTCTGAATGTGAATAGAGTCCATGATAAGATCACCTTGTAGCTCTTTTGTGTACTTCATCTTAACACCACAATAGAGAGTTTAGGGAAACATTTTAGGCATTTTGTTCCAGGGAATGACCCCAAATTCACATTTAAAGGGGAAAAACCCCTAAGCAAAACACAGGCTAGAGAGATCAAAGGAAGTTAAAAAATATCAAGTAAGGCATTAAAGCACCACAGGTGACCATATGTTAAACAAACAATTTACACTTCCAATGAATGAAAACAAATGTACTGATACCTATGTGGGCTACACTGAATAACCACTCTTGTTCAGGACCTCTCACGTTTTTACCATAGTATTTTAAAATTAACAGAGCTTCTAGCTTGGCTATTGGTATAAGCACAAATAGGTTGATTCTGTTCTTGATACAGTTTGACATTGGTTTTACTGTGTTGACTTCGGTGGAGTTACCATCATTTCAGAGTAGCTGGGAGTTAGAATCCTTTCCAGGGAAGGGTACAAATTTGACACACAGTACTGTTAACTTTGTGGGGAAAATATTAATTAAGCACAGCAAATACAAATACAGACAAAAATATTTTTCCTCACCAGAAAGAGTCTGGCCTGGCTCCAAACTATACAAATTCAGTGGCTCAAGAAAGCTGAGAGATGCCACTCAAATGCCATTATTAATACTTACAAGGGTATAGGTTGTTGTTGCTGCCATTATTAATACTTAGTTCTTGCTCAGGGACCCAGCTTGAGAGAATGTGCAGACTAATGGACCAAATATATAAAATATGGAACCTTGTTCTTCAGGCTGGGAAACAGGAAGATCACAGAAAGCATGTCTGACATACTGGTTGGATCAGTGTCATCCATAGCCAGAGGCAGAATATTATCTATTCTCTGCAGTGAACTATTTATTTTTTGCCTGTCATGGAGCGGGGTGCTACAAACACAGGTCAACAAGAAAATCTCTGCTGCAAAGGAATCACATTCTAAAGACCAGCTTGATGGGCCAAAAATTCCCAGTCAGGGCAACACTGATTTTCAGATGTTGAAAGAAGGGGGAAAATACATTTCTCATATGCTGCCCCTCTGAGTGGACAGATTTGAGGTACAAGGGATGGGGGGGTGCTATTCACTCTGGAATCTTTGATTGTATTATCAAGGCCAAACCCTCCCTCTTCTTCCAGAGCTGGGGAAAGCTCTCTCGCAGCAGAACCAGTGAGGACATGCCCCAGAAATAAAGGATAAAGTATTTCAGGAACCGGCTTGATTTGTTGTCCACAGATTTCTTTTCTGTAGGAACCCTTTCAATTCCAAGTCGTAGGGGAGTTAAAAGGGGGTGGGAGGAGGGGGAAATGTGGAGCAGGAGTTACCGACCATTCAGCTTCATGGAGAAGAAGAGTGCCAGCTGTGAGACTATGCACCTGAAATTCAGGTATGTTCACAACTGTTAAGTGCAAATCAGTTACTAATTTCCCACACCAGACACAGGGGTTAGGTTCCTGAAAGTTCCCGTGGTTGGCAAAACCGGCAGGACTGGGGGAGCAGGGGCTGTGGGTGGGGGGTGAAGGGCACCAGCAAGGCTGTGGGGGCACTGAGAGGCATGAGCAGGGCCAGGGGGGCCATGCAGGCTATTTTCAGATTGTACCCCCCTCTTTCTCTGAAGCATGGATACTCAAAACCATGGCTGGCAAAATCGTGGTTGGCAAGGGAAACCTATACATATCTCTCTGCCCTTTCACATGCATCCCCAGCTGGTGCTTACATCAAGATTGTGACCCCATAAAAGAAGACTAGTTACCTCCTTCATCAGTTGTGCACATGTTAGTTTGGTAGTTAGTTCTCCCAAAATCATAGAGTTTGGTAGAGTCCTATCCAATAAGGATAGGAACACCCAATAAGGCCAGGAGGTAGCCCAGATGCAGGCTGTTCTAGATTGCAGGCCTGAGCTGGCCTTCAGAATAATGCAGGACATTACTTTCAAGGGAGCTGTTTGCTTATTATTTTTATTACTATAGCACCTAGAAGACCCAATCATGGCCTGGGACCCACTGTGCTGAGGGCTGTGCAAACAAGAAACAATGATGTTCCCTACCCTGGAAAGTTTACAATTTAAGCATAGGACAAGAGACAACAGAGGGTCACAGTCAGACAGGGGAGTGCAAGAAAGCAATGAGATGCTGCTGGTCAGCATGATGCACAATGATCCTAGAAAGCCTGTGACCTACCCTTTGTCAACTTTTTAGCAAACCTTGGAGTAAGGGAGGTTCTGACACACCTTTTGTTTAAGCTGGCTGTTAAGGCCTTGCAGACCTTGGCAGATTCTGATCAGAGCTTGCTTTTAAAAAGGTGTACATTTCTGAAACTGGGAAGCTCTGAATGTCAGCAACAACAAAGAGGAAAGGCAGGTAACAAAGACAGCATGTGCAGTTTTCCCCCTTTTCACTGCTACCCTGAGAAGTTAGGCAGACAAGATTCTTTGGGTAAATCCAATATCTTTTATTAGACCAACTAATATAGTTGGAAAAAATCTTCTTTGCAAGCTTTTGGGTATGTTTTCTTTCTGGGTCTAAAACGGGTGACAAATTATAATTTATGAGGGAGACAGACTATGGACATTAGTGCAAGGAATTAAAAAAAACCCAACATTTTCACTGAGGGTGTTTACACCTGAAAGCTTGCAAAGAAGATTTTTTCTCCTCCCTTTTTGAATATAGTTGGAAAAAATCTTCACCCAAATATTCACCCTTACGTTTTTGTACCTGAAAGCTTGCAAAGAAGATTTCTGCTTTGTAAGCTTTTGGGTACAAATACTCAATGGTGTTTGTACTCAAAAGCTTGCAAAGAAGATCTTTTCCACCTATATTAGTTAGTCTAATAAAAGATACCGGATTTACCCAAAGAACCTTGTCTGCCTGTCCTTAGACCAACATGGCTACAACCAATAGCTCTGAGAAGTTAGCAGTTATGGGATTAATAAGCTTTCTGACCAGAAATTCCACATAGTTGCATCTGTCCTCTCTGCTTTTTGTCATTCACAATCATCTCCTCAGCACCCCCCATCCTGCTGAACCATGTCAGCTCCAGCCCTCCATCCAGACTTGATGTACTAATGGAATCAGTGAAAGAGACATTGGTACTATGATTTGACACTGACCATTATCCTACATCAAGCATTATTTGTCTCTCATTCTCTCTCTGCTTCTTATTACATGAAAAGCCATTGTTTTTTTTTAAATTTCTTGCACTGATGTCCATAGTTTATCTCCCTCATAATTTGTCTCCCTTTTTTAATCCAGGAAGAAAAGAGATACCTATTAAACTGAAATAATAATACTGTGTCTCTAACCCTTACTGCTATTGTTTTCATAACATTAATAGTGCAGGAGATTTTGGAGGACTGCAGCCAGTGAAATACACCCCACCATCCCCCTTTGATATAGGTATCAGCATCTCAATTTTAGAACGAGGAACTGAGCAGTAAAAATGTTCTGTGGATCATCCATGGTCATGCAGGAAGTCTGCGCTGGAACCAGGAATAAAATCCAGATTTCCTGACTCCCAGTTCTTAACCCCATCTTCCCCTCAAAATGATAATGCAAGGGATGATAAAGAAGTCAGAACATCAGCTTGTCATCTGTTTGTTTAAGAACAAAACTAAATGCTGGTGGCCTAAGTCTCCTGTGCTGTAAATCAAGAACAGCTCTGCTCATGTCAGTGGTTACCCTGGGGTAGGTGAGAGAAGAATCAGGCACAAAATGTCCAGGAACATTTTTTTTCCAAATTCAAAAGAAAGTGTTTTGTGCTGCTGAAATTAAAAACTCTAGCTCAAAGCCATATGTTTTTTTTTTCTTTTAAAACAGGTAAAACAAGAACAAGAGAGAAGTACCGGGTGGTTTATACAGATCATCAGAGATTAGAATTAGAGAAGGAATTTCATTACAACAGATACATTACTATCAGGAGGAAGTCTGAACTTGCTGCAAACCTAAGACTTTCCGAGAGACAGGTAGAGTATGGGTCACACATTCAGCATTTCCTATGCATTTATTATTACTGCGCAGGAGACAAGAAAACTGCTTAAAAGCATGATTATCCTAACATCCCTAAGTATGGAGCAGTGCAGCTGGACTATTGTGACGCAGACCTGTTCAGCTGTGTGAGATCTGTTGCATTGTACTTGTCTATAAGATCAGGGACAGAAGTTCAATAAACCGATTTAACCTAAATCAGTTCAGTCTGATACTACATCCATCAGGTTTATCTTAAACTGGTTTTAGCCATTTTGAAAGCAGTTTATGAGCACTGAACTTCTGTTGTGTTACAGATTTGAACCGATTTCCGAACACTTATACCAGTCCATGTGTAATTTCTGTCCCTAGCCTAACAGGGCATTATTTCTATATTTCACAGTATCACAGCCAAGCTTTACCTGCAATAACAATGGTGCACACACAAGTCCAGATTAGGTACTGGCAGCTGCCAGCATCTTAAGCAAAATGTTGTTTAGATTTGCTCCAAGAAAGGATAGCTGAAGGGGTCTTAAAACACCAGCAGATGAGGTTCTTTGGATAGATGTGATAGTTTTTATTAGACCACTAAGTAGTTGGAAAAATTGTTTTTTGCAAGCTTTTGGGCCCAATTTTTTGCAACTATTTAAAAGAACAATTCCTTCCAAATATTTAGTTGGTCTAATAAAAGATATCACATCTACCCAAAGAACCATGTCTGCCTAGGTCTTTAAACCAACATGACTACAACCAACAACCCTTAAAACACCAGCAGCATCCTGGAGCCATGTCTACATTGATGGAGCTAAACCAGTGGGAACAGCGGTGGAAAATTTTAGCCAAAAAGCCCAGGGAAAAGTCCTGACCTGACTTCATTCCAGAGTTTTGTTATAGATTTAAGTGGGGCCAGGACTTCAACCTAGCAGAAAAAGAGCCACTGACTCCATCTGACAAATGCATGTACATTAAGAAAAATACTTACATGTCCCTCCAGTTCCCCTTCACATTTACTGGAGGACTCTGTCCCCATTCCATATTTGCCCCATTTCTTTCTCTATTCATGAGGCCCTACAAGACCACCATCCTGTCCAAGACCTGAATGCATGTTGCTCTGGAACCCATCAATGTCACACTCCTCAATCAGCTAATTGCAATGTCTGTACATTGCTCCTGCAGCACTCACAGCCTGTGTGCCTCCTCCTCCTCCTCTCAAAGGACCTGGGCACATGGCCTCTGGCTCTAAAACACTTCCAAGCCCAGCTGGCCCCGGAAGCAAGCAAGTGAGATAAGAAGTCAAGCTGGATCTCCCACAGAGCAGCACAAATAATTATTTCATGGTTAGCATTTGTTCTGTACCGTGTTATGTGGGGGGTTCCTTCAATCAATGCAGTGAACACAGGCAGTGGAGTAAAAATTGATGAGTATTATTGATGGAGATCAATGGATAATTCCCACTGGATTATATCATTAGCAATTTCCACTTTTGTTGTTTGCATACTATGCAGCCATGCCACAATTTTCTCAAGTATGATTCAAAATTATTCCCTGAATAACATGCCTAATTCTCCAATCAGATGCAGTTTTTAGAGTTAAAAGTATGTAAAAAGCCACCAAATTGGAAATGTAGCTTTTTATCTCTAGGATGAACTCCCTTTCTCTGGGTACAAATGACAAACAAGGTGTAAGGAAATGGAGAAACGGACCCAAGTGTCAAAAATATTTCTTGATCTTCAGCAAAGAGTTCATTGCAAGTGGTTGATTATTGACCAGTCAGGTTTTTTTTAACTGGTTAGTAGGTCAAATGATATACGTATTATCTCTTATTGTCTTAATTGAACTCCTGGTATCTGCATTTTATTATGCTCTTGACTATACACTTAAGATTTGCTTCTGTGAAAATTCTGCAATATTCACTTGAAACTCACTGATCTGATGATCATTCGTGCAAATTAAACTTTTTATGATAACAGTTGAAGAAAGCTATTTGACACAATCTTCAATTTCTAAAAGAAATTTGTTCAAATATCATGGCAATGTCTTTGCAGTATTTGCCTTGCTCTCATTGATCAGCTATACCCCTGTGCCCAAAATCAGAATAACATCCATGCATCACTTAAAACAGTGGTTCTCCAACTTTTTAGATATAAGGCACCCCTTGTATCAAAAGTATCAAGACACCCCATCAGAAAATGCCAGCTCTTAATTTTCAGTTGTTTTTTGAAAAACAGCAATTCTTCTGTTGCAAAAAATTCAGAAAGACCAGAATAGGTCCAGATGTTTTTAACACTATTGATTCCTACTTTAAATCTCTGGGTTTAGCTTGTGTATCTTATGTATTTTATGTATGCACACCTAACAGTGCTAACAACTATGTATCACTCCACAATATCCTTGAAAGAATCTCAAGGCACCCTGGTTGAGAATCACTGACTTAAGCCATTACTAGCAGAGCCAGACACAGGCATAAGTGAACTGGGCAGCCGCCCAGGGCCCAGACAGAAAGGGGGCCTAAAAATGGTAATTTTATTATTATTATCATTATCTCTAGTGAAGGGGGGACAGGTACTAAAAGGTCGCCTGGAGCTGCCAGGAGTCTGGGTACAATGCTGATTACTAGGCAAACTCAGGCTTACATGGCACCTAAATGATGCATAGGATTTCAGCCTACTTCAGTACCTATACAACTTTCACTAGACTTCCATAGTTCCATTAATGAAGAAGATTAATTACTTAGCTCAGGGTGAAACCTTGAAATGATTCTCTGGGGAAGCCTCTTCACTAACTGTTTCAAAGTGCTGAACAGGAAGTAGGAGAGAATGTTCTCCAGATAATGTAAATGAAAAATGTTTCATATCAACTCAAAACTGAAAAATATTTCCAGAACTTTAAACAGTGAGTGTTGATCTGTTCAAAAGATCTGTGGTTTGAAATAAATCTGTGTATGTTTGATGCAGTAATCCACTGAGAGGGCCTCATTCTAATCTGAAAATATTGCCATGTACCTTGACAAACAATGTGAATAGATACACAAATTCAGTCATAAACCATTTGAATTATTTACATGTGCAGGTAAAGGTGCTTTGGGATCAAAGCATGATCCACAAAATCATGCTTCCTGTCACATCATGTGCATGGCAGGAGGTGTGATTGTGGGACTGTGCATTAGATCTCATCACATCTTATCACTGGTGCAGGAATCATGATCCCAGGCTTCCCCAGAACTGGCTCCTGTGACTTTAAGCCCCACACCTGACAGGACTCACAATGGGGACAATGTTCTCTGTGCTGCCCCCACTGCGAGCCCCACAGCTGATGTGGTCTGCAGGGCTTGCAGCGGAGGCTGCAGAGAGAATGCTGCCACTGCTGTGAGCCCTGCAGCTGAGGATGCAGCCACCACTGTGAGCCTTGTCAGTGCAGGGCTAGAAGGGAGTGGTGCACCCCTGTGGCTGACAGTCCCCCCACTTGATGGGGCTCCCAGCTACAGGGGAGCACTAGGCCACACGTTCAATTAATGACATGATTAGAATAAGCTACAGAGTTACTACACATTTTTGTGGAATAACCCTGTAGCTTATTGCTTGTTTTATCATGCAATTAATTGGCTGAAGGTGTAACTGCATCACAATTTGAGGCGTGATTACGCGGTTAATTGTGCCTGGACTGTAACATGTAGAGGGGCCCTAAGTTTCATATTTTAACTTTCTCTATACAAAATACTTGTATATACTCCTTTAACTATACCAGTAGGGTTAACTACCTCTCCCAACCCCCACTGCCAGGATGGATTTCTCATACTAATGCAGTTTATCTCCATATGAAATACAATGTTATATTGGTATATGACCACTTTATACTAAAATAACTTCATCCACACTGAGGATTGTACCAGGTATAACTATATCAGTAAAAAACAAACAAAAGGAAGAAAAACCCCAAAAGACTCTTAACCATCTTAGTTACGCCTGCAGATTAGAGTTAGTAATTACATGGATGATACTTGGGTCAGTCTCAGTACCAACTAGAAGCACATGCATAGATGGTACCAGATAGAGTAAGATTTTGTGGTTCTGGCAGAGTAAATGGACATAATTGATGGGGCAGGGAGATGCCAGAGATACTGGAAGATATGGGTTCACTTATTTCTCCAAAAGTATCTGCATAGCATAGATGGCGGGAGAAGTTCTTTAGTGAAAATGAAAAGTTAAGACAAATAAAGGTGCGTGACTGATTGAAGATCCCACTAACGGTGCACAGTTATGATTAACCATGGTTTTCCATGGCCATGCATCAGCCCAGCACCTGCCATTTTTCCCATAAGCCTTTTGTCTTGCCAACCACAGTTTTGCCAGCCATGGGAACTTTCAGGAACCTAACCTCAGCAGTTGGCAAGGGAAACCTGTATATGTATAGCAACATTTTACCTAGGGGGTCCCAGAATACTTCATGAATGTTACAAGATCCGTATTTGAGCCACTGCTAAAATGCAGCCACTGCTGAATTGAAACAAAAGAGTTATCTCATTGGACACAGCAACACTACGGAATGCACTGTTGGGACAAAAAAACATTAAGCATGCTATGACTAATCAAATTAACCTATGGGAAACCTAGAAGGCAAAATGCAAGCCTGTTGTTACAGGGGCTGAGTATAGACAGTCAAAAAGCCTGAGGCTGAATTGATTCAGTCTTTGTAGGTTAGTCTAAGCTACGCGGATTAAATAGAAACAGGAGTGAACAGATATTTACTTTTGATTCAGGAAATGCAGCCATATGCCTGCAGTGGCCCAGGCCAGAAGCTGGGGGTGGTGCTAGACCACAGCTCTCTGGCTATGTGTTCACTTCCTCTTGCTGCTGCTCCTGAGGCCTTTGGGATTTGCAGTCCACAATTACAGCAGCAGGACTCTGCAGGGTTGTTCATCACTTCCTCTTCCTGCTTCCAGGTGCCCATGGGATTTGTAGTCCACAATTGCAGCCAGCAGTAAGTTTGAGTGGGGGAAGGTGTGTTTATCCCCCCTCCCTAGCACCAGACCCTAGCTGGGGTTTGTTGGGGTTGGGGCATCCCCAGCCAGGCTTGCCCCTTCCCCCACCACCTTCTCAGCCAGCCCTCACTGCTCCAGCTTCAGAGCAGAGGGGCAGGTCCAGCGCTGCTCTCTGGAGCAGGCAGACAGTCCAGCCCAGCCCAGGGCTGGAAAGCATGCTGGGATGCTGGGGGACTCTGATTTCACTTGAACCAGGAAGCGGTCTGGGACAGAAGTTTCATAAGCCTGTTTGACCCAAATCAGTTAAGTCTGATACTACATTCAACCAGGTTTATCTTAAACCAGTTTCAGCCATTTTGAAGCTGGTTTATGTGCACTGAACTTCTGTTCTGTTACAGGTTTAAACCAGTTTCTGATCACTTAAACTGGCTTATGTGTAACTTATGTCCCTAGCCAGGGAGGCAGAAATAAGGGGAGAAGCTAAGAGTGGAGGGTGGAGAGAGTATTAGTGTGTGGACAAGGAAGTTGTTTGTAGGGCAGCTCAGAAAGAGCGGGGGGAAACAAAGAACAAGGGAGTCAGGCAAAGAAGGAAGGAACATCAGGAGAAGCATAAGAATACATCTGAGAGAGAGACAGTGAATTACATCCTTTTATTGTGCTATAAAAAGTTCTTTTCCTGCCTTTGTTCTAAAGTCATACTTTTGCATATATTTGCATGTACTGAAAAACTGGCACATGGCCATAGGCTCTGGCAGGATTTGGGCTCTGGTAGAATTTGGCCCAACCTGAATTACCACCGCATCTCTTTTCAGTGTACAGAAACTCTTACACCACCATTTACATTAAAATGTACAAGTATTTACATTAGATTTTGCACTTAGTACCAATACATTAACAGACAAGGATGCCAAAAAATGCCAAAAATCCTGCAATACTAAAAAACTCATTCCATTTAATACATTAAAATGTGTGTTAAAGTTTTTCAGAAAGAAATTGGCTGTTACACAGCTTCCTATTTCCCTCCTAAATGATCAATACATGTTTGATTTTCACTGTGCTAGTGATTAGGTAACTGCTCAGCCTACATTCTGTTTGCTGTTGACACACCTCTTTCTTTGCTTCTCTGCAGGTAAAAATCTGGTTCCAGAACCGCAGAGCCAAAGAGAGAAAATTAATGAAGAAGAAAATGACTCATTTTGATGGCAGCAATCTCAGCTCTATGCAGAGTGACTCTGGCTCAGTGAGCCCCATGCCCGTTCCTGACCCACAGACTCATTCGGAAATGTCCAATTCTTTATTCCCCCCTCCACCACCTCCACCTCCTCTTTCCATGAATGGCTTACAGCACAATGGCAACCTTCAACAGGTCGTAGCCTCTCAGTAAGGCTGTTCGAAGAGTTGTTTTATACAGAACATTATAAACAAACAGTACATGGAGCACTACAGTTCAACAGGACAGTTGTAGCTGGCAAAATACCCCAACACCATAATGGTCTTGTGCACACAGGCTCCAATTCTCAGGTCTACAGAAGGCAGAAGCAGATGTCAAACACAATGGAACTGTTGTGTGCAAGGGGTCCTGATTGTGGGGGGATCTTGCAAGGGGATGCCAGGGGGCTGTGTCACTAAGCAGGCACTGCCTGGGGTAACACAGGTTGGGAAGGGGTGGGGGAGTTGGATGAGAGACAAGGAAGTGGTCATTTGTTCTGCTACTATGCAGCTCCACTAGCCAAAATATATGTGAAATAGGCCACAGACAGTGCTGCATCCCTGCGGCTATTTTAAGGCCTGTGCAAGCACTATGGGTCTTGATAGGAAAGTATATTCCTCCCCCTACTTTTCCTCATATAGGTTTCATGTGTGAATCTTTTTCTTGGGCTTTGCACATGGATCTGATAAAAATGAAGTTCTTTGGCCTACACAACTGAAAGCTTGGAACACGTTGGCTATAGACTGTTGAGTTTTTGCGATGAGGTCCAGTTTATCTCCTCCACTACCCCAACAGAAATTACTTCCAAGGCTAAGTAATACTGGCATCTACTCTTCAAAACTTGGTATAAATGTTTCTAGAGAAAAGAATCTGGGAATTGTGAATCTTAGCCCAGTTTTGCTCTTGGTGGAAAAAAAAGATCATTTCAGTTCATTTTGTTTCTTGGAGAAGTAGCAGAGGAAAATAACCCCTAAGTTGTTAGAGATGTTTAAGGGAATGATCGCATTTAATGAGACCATGAAACCTATGGAAAAAGGTACAGCTAATGCATCTACATATTATGTGAATTCCTTGGTTTTCACACATTCTGTAGTATAAAAAAGTTGAAAGGCCAAATGAATAGATGAGAAGAGAAAACCAACATTCTGCTTGAGCATAACCCATTTTTTAAATGGGTACTTAATAGTGATCTGCTAAATCCACATATAGGCTTGATATGTACATATATATATGTAAGTCTGACATTCAGACATGCTGATTGCTCATTAACTGCAGCTCAACACATATTTGGGAGCTTAACTATGTATTTAGGTGTCTAGGCTGGCACCAAGGGTAACATTTCAAAAGCACCTACAGCCTAGATCGCAAGCTTAACATGCCAACAGCAGCACCCCCAACCAGGCTGTGATGGCAACACTACACCAGGCAGAAGCACTGTAGCTACATCTGTATGAGGCTAGAGGCAGCCTAACTCAGCAGTGCTAATTAGCCTTCCCTTGGTGCCATGTGAACGTAGCTGCACTGCTTTCACTTGGGAAGGGTTATCACATGCAGAGCAAGGAGTATATCTAAGGGGGCCAGGCACAATAGGTCTGTGGTCTAGATATGAGTGATGTGATGACAAAGATCCTAAAGGTGACTTCGGCATTTAGAAGCCAAGGTGCCGTTGACTTTCACCAAGACTTGGCCTCCTAAATATCCAAGCCAGTTTTAAATTGAACTTAGGAGCCTAACAGCATGTCTACACTGCCTCCTGGTTGCCTACGAGTGCTACTTTGAAGCATGCCCTTTATCCTTCCTCTCACTAAGCATAAGCCAACTCCCCCAAAACGGGCAGGGCAGCTAGTTTAGTGTAGTCCTATGCACATGCAAAGAAGCTGACTTGATAGACAGCCTGGAAGCAGCTTTGAGCATATGCTCAGGTCCCAGCCTTTGACACACCCCAAGTTGGAGCAAGCGGGTGGAACAGGCTTCTGAGCTGTTCTCCTGGACTTTTCACACAGGCAATGTAGATAGACATGTCCTTTGTTACTTTTGTGCATTGGAAAAATTTACCCCAAAACTTAGTCTAAGGGCGGATACGTTCTTGTTTTTCCCCCTAAATATATCATATAATATTATTTTGATGATTAAGGTGGAGTTATGAAAAATCACTTTGTATATAAAAGAACTTTAAAATAAATGACTTTTCCATAAGTGTTTCCAACACAGTATAGACCTACTACCAAAAGCTGCAATGCAGAAATGATTTTTGGAGACTGTTTTTAATCATGATATAAAGCTTAAATATATAGAATGGGGGAAGATGGGATGGTTAAAACAGAAAAACTCAGAATTTCACTACTAAATAACCAATTTTACTACAGTTCACACACCTAAGGATGCATTTTAATTTTTACCATCTTGTGGTTATTTGATGACCTGTGTGAAATATAATTAGTGTATCCAATCCTGCTCCAAATGTGCTTGTGTCTCCATCGCATACTTTCCCTCTCCTACACTGAAAAGAAGTCCTCTTCTTACTGGCAGTAGCAGCTTGCAGCATTGAGATTAAGTACCCATATGAGTCTTGGAGTGGTCCTTCCAGACAAGGCTTAAGAAGATTAGTTAAATATGTTGATGGAAGTCTCTCCTGCTGCTATCTCGGTTGTGCCTGTTCTGAGAAGTAGCACATACAAAAGGAGACATCATTCACCACAGCACTTTATCAGACGGTTTTAGGGGAAGTTCCCTCATGCTTCTTCCTATTGTCAGGTGGAGTGTTTTGGAGAAAGGCCCTTGATTAAGAGCATTTGGGTATCAAAGTAATTTGGCATTTGCAAGACTAACAAACTCAGGCATCTCAAAGCATTCTATCTTCCAGATAAGTCCATCAGAAATGCATATAATGGCCTTCAAGTGGAAGGAAACTGTATAGATACTTTGGGTATAGAGCAACACTAAGCAAAGATTTCTATTTTAAGGTCAATCCGATTTGACTTCAATTCAATTCATTATTAAGGATTCTGGCTAAAAGCCTCACTCCCGAAAACAACATGACAAACATGCAACCATAATATAAATAAATGTAGGCAAAAATAACAGAAATACAAATATAATAATAAAATAAAGGCAACCACTATAAAAACATTATTCCTTCTTCTAGAATTAACATAATCAAATATAAATATAGTATAAATGGTTAAAGTATAAATATAGTAATAAATCAGATCATGAATCTATAAAAATATTGTACATAGGTCCACAACTGACACAGTAAAATCAAATATAGTGATAAGATTTATCAACCATATCAACAGTAAAGGATGTTTAACTCTGATTGCTTCAGCCTTATAAGCAAAAATTGCAAGACAATTTACTAAATATGAATCTGCTGAAAGAGACAGATTAATTTCTCTCTGTTTGAAAGGTATATCAATTTCTGCAAGAACAGTGATAAAAACTTTCTCATGTCATTATATAAAGAACATTCTAAAACATAATGTATAGTGTCTTCCAGAACTCCTAGACAAGCTGGGCAACATATTGTAGCCCTTGGAATGGTAAGTCTACGTCCAGCCAAAACAGCTGCAGGCATCTGTTCAGTCCTGAGTCTAGTCAAGGAGGATCACCATTTATTGTTGAGATCCAGCTATAAATACCTTTCTGCCCTCCACAATCTAATTTCCAAAGAGTATATAAAGGGGCAATACAAGTAGCCCTGGTCACTGCAAAATCATTCTGCCTGGCAATATCCCATAATGTCTGGAAAACCCGAAACTTTTCTATGGGGGAGAAAAACCTTTCATTGTCTTTAACATTGTAAACCATCCCAGAAAGAGCAAAAGTACAGGAAAGATAAGCTAACCAGGGAGATTGAAAAGAAGGGGGATTATTGATGCCTTTTATATAGCACAATTTAAGCAGATAAGACGGTAGAAGAGGCAGGATCTGAAACCAAAATCCTGACATTCTGATAATATTAGTTAAGACAGAATCTAATCAAAATCTCTAATCTCAAAAAAGATGTGGGAGTTGAAGGATGAAGACCCAGAAGAGCCCTAAGAAACTTGTTCTGAGGCAATGTTCCCTCTAAGGAGTAGAGGTCCGTGAGCACATTGCTTCAGTCCCACCTCCCCCTTTCAGCGTGGTCCACCAGTAAATGTCCCACAGTGAGTGTCCAGGTGGGAGCGGGCAGGGTTCAGCCCTATGTGGAGCACTGTGGGCCCCACCCACCACCCTGCTCCATGCTAACTGCTGCCCAGAGCAGCACAGAGGAGTGCTGTGGGGCAAAACTGGAAGGGAGGCACTGGCGCCGGTGTGGGACACTTACTGAAGGTAAGCTCCTCAGTCCTCACGCAGGGCAGGCAGTGGCTCCTCCCCGAGGTGAGGCGAGGCGAGGCGAGGCCGGGATGGGGACGGGTGCTGGCGTGGGCTCTGCTGGCTCCAGGGAACTGCTCCACTCCCCAGCCCTGACACCATGTGCCTCCTTGCTCCCGGAGGTGATGCAGGGGTGCGGAGCAGCTCCCCGGAGCCGGCGGAGCCTGCTCCAGCCCCAATCCCTGCCTTACCATCCCTCTGGGAGTGAGGAGGCACATGGTGTTGGAGCTGGGAAGCAGAGCAGTTTCCTGGCCCTGGTAGAGCCCACACCAGCCCCCGCCTCACCTCCAGGAGCAAAGCAGTTTCTCGGCCCCAGCCCCCACCTCGCCTCCAGGAGCAAGGAGGCACATGGCATCGGGGCTGAGAAGCACAGCAGTTCCCCAATGCCAGCCCCCAGGCCCTGTCCTCACCTCGCTTCCGGGAGCACATGGCCTTGCGGAGGAGCCGCTGCCTAAGCTTACCCCCAGTAAGTGTTCCTCACCGGCCCCAGTGCCTCCGCCATGCTCTGCGCCCAGCTCATTGCCCAGATCCTCTCTGGGCAGGTGTACGGCATTAATAAGTTTGTCCGCGGCATGGTTTTAAAGCATGCATGGCCACGCATGGGTGCAGCTTGGAGAGAACCTTGTTCTGAGGTATGTCTACATCATTACTGGTGGCATAACCCCATACTTCAGCGCCATATAGGATCTGAGGATATGCTGATATAAGAGCTTGGACTGATCATCCTGCTGTGGTCTCATAACATTTCTTTATAGCTACAGCCAATTGGACTGCATTCGTTTTAACCTGTTGAATGTGGTATTTCCATGATGGAA